TACTTGCCAGATCGCTTGACGGAGAGCGAAACTCTCAAGCGCTCAGTCAGCGTGTTTATCGAGTGAAAATCTGTGTTGAACGCCTCTCACACACACACTGGCGTGTAAAATCTAAGAATTTATTAGCCAATGGCTAATGTTAGACATTATTTAGTCACCCAGAGTAAGATTTAGTCGCATATGCGAGTGATTTACTCGCAATGCAGAGGGTTGTGCTATATATTAACCAGTTTTCTTTTGTATCCATGAATGCCTATGTTAAATATAACATTTTAAGTGAAAGAGAAGCTACAAATTGTATATAACACGTGTTTTTCAATATATTTGCAATTGCAATGTCTTTACTCTGTCTCTTTTGATCAATTGAATGCAATGTTGCTGAATAAAATAATTATTTTCTTTCAACCTTTTGAACGGTAGTGTAATTTATGTCTAATATAACAAAAAAAAAATGCATTAAAAACTGAGAAAACATTGCATCTACTTCTACAACGTGCTACAGATCACATGTTTGCAGAACAGCCAGCCTACACTTTTTGGTATAATAAAAAACAACAAACAAGAACATAGTAGGGCTGTCAAAAAAAAATCGAATTTCGAATATTCGTTGAATTTAAAGTGAAAATCCACATTCGAATGCAAAAACGTTGCATTCGAATTTTAGATGTGCGTCAGGCAGCCTTATCAGTTGACGCACGAGATGCGATGACGATGTAAGTGTCATTGCATTATAATGTTTTTGTTAGCCTATCCAGTTGAAGCCACTAGATGCGGCGCTGCTGCGTTGTTCATTAAAAATATTGCGGAAAAGGAGAACACCAATGCGGAGAAGATCTTGTTTACATCAAAACTGAAACCAAGCCGTTCACACAGAACACATATTTCGCGCATTTTCTAGAGGGACATCTATCACCGTTGCACTCGCGTCTCGCACAAAGGAGCCGCATGTTTAAAGCCATGTAAAATTAAAGTGAAAGTGAAGTGAAAGTGATGTGACATGTGGCCAAGTATGGTGACCAATACTCTGAATTAGTGCTCTGCATTTATCCCATCCAAAGTGCACACACACAGCAGTGAACACACACACACACCGTGAACACACACCCGGAGCAGTGGGCAGCCATTTTCTGCTGCGGCGCCCGGGGAGCAGTTGGGGGTTCGGTGCCTTGCTCAAGGGCACCTCAGTCGTGGTA